AAAAAAAAAAAAAAAAAAAAAAAAAAAAAAAATCACAGGACTTATGAAGTAAGCAATAGTGTTGAGAATAAGACCCAAGATTAATGTCGTATGTGTGTGCATGCATGTGCACTTGTTAGGTAGAATAAACCAATATTTACATACCGAAACATATTTTACATACTGAAACAAAAGTGTGTTCAGTTTTTCCTGTCTCCTTAGGATTCAAAAGAACATTTGGAGAATAATTTAAATGTAACTATATCTGTTTATAAAGTGGGTAATTTCCTCTCCTCCCCTTCCCCGAGACTGAACTCAGGACCTTGCACTTGCCAGGCAGGGCCGGCACCACTGAGCTACATCCCCAGCCCTAAATTGGGTATTTCTTAACCTTGACCCTACAGACTACTAGGAAATTTAGAGATGGGCATCAAGTCTCAAGATTCCTTTAAAATTATGTGTAAAATCTCATATATATTTTGTATATCGTATATGTTTCTGGAAAGACAATCCAGGATGTTATGGTTTGGGCATGGATGCCCCCGCAAAGCCTCATTCAAGCAGAAATGGCTGAATCTTGAATGTGTAATGCTGAGATTAAGGGTGTGTGATTACTAAATGGACAGGTGAGAGAGATTTAGCACCACCCTAATCCCAGTAGGCTGGATGGGATAAAAGAGGCAGAAAGATGGGTAAAGATCTCTTCCTTGCTCCTTTTTGCTGTCTTCCACTGCCATGAACTGCTTCCTTTGTTATATTTGCTACCTTGTGTCGACCATGTTTCTCTTCTGCAATATGTGTTTGCCATCCCAGCCTTGGAACCAGCTGATTATGAACTGAAATCTCTATGAACTGTAAGCCAAATGAACCCCTTCCTCTCTAACTTTGGGTGTTGGGTATTTCGTCTCAGCAATGAAGAAAAGTGACTAACACACAGATCTTAGCAGATTCTCCAAGGAATGGAACCGCTGCTTAAAGAGAAGACAAAACTGGGCTGGGGATTTAGCTCAGTGGTTCCACCACCTGCCTCACAAGTGCAAGGTCCCAGATTCAGTGATCCTCATGAGCCTTTCTTCTCTATCACCCTCCCTCTCAGGGGTCTTAGCACTTAAGGGCATCTCTGAGGATTCGGGCTTTGAGATATAGAAAGCCAGGGGCTTGGAGTCTGATGTTACTTATAATTTCCGATCTCACTCTAACACTGTGCATTCTAAGATGATGAAGAGAAGCAATGTAACTTCAACTGGATTAGAGACAAACAACAAACAAACAAACAAAAACACCAAACAGATCTTCCCCAAATCACATAGTGTAGAATCTATTCATCAAATCAAAATTACTCTCCAACCTACAAGGGTTTCCTTCACCTAACAGAGATTCTAAAACTTCACTTGCAAAACAGTTAAGAATTAAGAAAGGCCTTAGATGGAAAACAATTTTCTTTGCGACAAGCCCTCCAACATTCTACAATGATCATTGTTTAACTTGACTTAATGGTTGGTTTCTGATTTCACACCTGTAGACTCTGTGGAAACAGGATCTGTGTCTATCTTGCTTACTTACTTGCCATCTCAGCCCCTAGGCATGGTGCTTGGGGTATATACATCATCAAAAACTTCCTAAATTTAAAGGTTCAAAAACTTTTCAAAACAAAACCCAAAAAACTGAGCCAACCAAGAGTGAAGTAGGAGGACTGCAAGTTCAAGACAGCCTCAGCAACTTTGTGAGACAATGTCTCAAAATACAATAATAAAGTCTGGCTTGGTGGTACCTGCCTATAATCCCAGCACTCAGGAGGCTGAGGCAGGAGGACTGCCATGAGTTCAAAGCCAGGATGAACTACATAATGAGACCCTGTCTCACAAAATCAAAAAAATAAAGGGCCGGGGATTTAGCTCAGTGGTTCCACCGCCTGCCTCGCAAGCACAAGGACCCAAGTTCGATCCCTGGTATCAAAATAAGTAAGTAAGTAAGTAAGTAAATAAATATAAAAAATAATTAAATTTAATGAAATTTTAAAAAGAAGGTTGGGGATGCAGCTCAATGGTAGAGCATTTGCCTAGCGTGCACAAGGCCCTGTGTTCAATCCTTAGTACTGGAAACAAAACTGGCAGAAAGGCATCCTTATAGAAATAATTACAAAATGTGCTTTACATACCAAAAACTTAAATGAACTCATCCAGCAAATCCAAATTATGCAGTGTGACCAAGTTTTCACAGTAACTGAGACCTACCTGCAAACAGTGGCTGCATATTGAACAATTCAGCATCATATACTTCCATCTGGCCAGAAGTCTTGTTCAAAATTCCCACAAAGTGCCTGATAAAGAAGAAACACTGCATGGACTGTTCAAGGTATTGTTTACACAACTTCCTTTTTCTTCCACCTTCCTTCTGTGCTAACAACCTGAGCAATGCAGTGGCTTGCTCAGAGTTAACTATAATCCCTGTCAGCAGCAATCCTCTGCATGGAGAGGGAAACAAGACAGAGGTGGATCGGAATAAAAGGCCGCCTGGCAGTTCTGGGAGCCGGTCACAACTGCACTCATTGGTGTATAGGGAAATCTTCTGAGGCATAAGAATCTGCAATTACACTAGAATTTACTATGCACCAAGTTTTTTTGGAAACAAGGTCTTGCTATGTAGCGCGGGCAAGCCTCAAACTTGTGATCCTCCTGCCTCAGCCTCCCAAGTGCTGGGATTACAGGCGTGAGCCACCATATCCAGCTATGCACTAAATCTGGAGGCAAATAATGATGAGAGAAAACCAATCCAAAACAGAGCATCTTTACAAGGGGATGATAACAGTATTAAATTGTGAGCGCTTATATGTCAGTCTGCCTTCTATCAGGGAATGGCCAGCAGGGGCTCTGAGAAGGCCTTATTTATGCTGCACTGTTGGTATCATCATTAGGCCCCTGTCTGACTCACACCCTCCCTCAGACCTACAGACTGCTCAAACTAGACAATCTTAATTATACAGAGGAAACCAGAGATCAGTAAAGGGCTGTTTTGCCCAAGTCACTCAATCAGTGACAAGACTAGATGGAAACTGCAAGCTATAGACTGAGAATAGCAATGTCAGTGCCCCACCACTGACCTTCCCCTAACACCCTTTCCCCGGCCCTTTTCCCCATCATTACCTGCACAGAGTGTTACATTTGAGGGCTCCAGTCCCAAAATTGTTTCCAACATAGGAAAGTCTGTCTGTTTCAGCTGCCTAAAATGGAGAGGGAGGGGTAATCCATTAACAGTTAGTGTTGAATGGTATTAAATATTGTGTCTGTAAAGAAGAAGCTTTAGAATCCAGGATCACAGTGAACCTAGGAAATGATAATCTGGAGTATCTCTGAGGGAAAGGCAAAAAGGCTTTTAAAAGGAAAGCTCACAGGGGCCAGATTTCTCAACAGATTTCAATTATAAACTTCCACAGAACATGCCAGAGGGTTCTGGCATCCTGCTCTTTATTTTCCATGCAAACTTTTTGGGTAAAGAAGTTATTGCTTGGCTGTGTGGACCATGTACTGTATAAGCCATAGTTTTAAATGATAAATTTCAACTTCCTGTTTTTCTGGACAGTCATTTTTGTTTACTCTTTCAGTACTGTTCCAGGCCCTAATAAGTTCTTCATAAGGTTGACAGAAGCACCTGCTGCAAAGGTTATGCTGATGATAGGTGCATACAGAGTGCAGCTTCAGTGACCAAACAGGATTTGGATGGAGCTTTCAGACAATTATTTACATGATCTCTTTGAAGCAGTTTGGAATTCTGGCATACCTAAAACTTTCAAGTGTAGTTTCATCTGTAAACCTCTCAAGCCTGTCATCTGTTTTGGTCTGTAAGATCAATGTGGTAGCTCTAACATATGTAAAAAAATAGATATAATTGTGCCAGTCTTCTGAAATCTTAGTGTTGTACCAAGACTGCGTATTTCATGTTTTCCACAATGTGGAATAGTACTGTAGGAAGATTATTTAAGAAAATGAAATGTTATTTTTTTAAATAACTTAGAATTTTCTACTAGTCTTGGTGAATCTTTGTATATATATATATACACACACACACACACATACATACATACATACATACATACATAAAGAAAAGTAGGTTCAAAGCACCAGCTTACAGTAGAGAGGCAAAGTATACTAACTCAGGTTGCCCAAGCTCTGAATAAAGGATGACTCTGCTGCCCTTGAAAAAAAAGGAAAGCTCACAGGGGCTGGGGATTTAGCTCAGTGGTCCTGCCACCTGCCTCACAAGCTCAAGGACCCGAGTTCGATCCCCAGTACCAAAAAAAAAAAGGAAAGCTCACAGGTAGTGCTGGCTTCTAACTGTTAAGGAAAGTTTGAGCAGGGAGTTGCATCACAGGACTCAACATATATGCCCCAGGGCTGGGGATTTAGCTCAGCGGTTCAGCAGCCTGCCTTGCAAGTGCAAGGACCTGCGTTCAACCCCCTGCCCCCCCGCCAAAAAAAATGCCCCAAAGTGATTCTGAAGGCAATTTCTTTGCCCAAGCTCTTCTTGATCTTTGCCTACTTTCCCAATGACTGCTCTTCACAAACTCAGGACCACTGGAAATGGCTTCACTTCCCAGTCACAGCCAAGCTTTTCTTCTTCCCTGCCTTTGTCCTTACTGTCCTCTCCACTGGGAACATCAAACCCTGGCTGTCAAAACCTCCCCCATGCTTCAAGGGTCAGCTCCAATGCACCTTCCACCACTAAGGCACTCTGGCAAGCAGAGACCTCTCTTCCTACTGAGCTCACTCTGTCCTGCGTTCTCCTTCCCTCAGACTCCGAGCTTTGTCTACTGCATGAGTGTCCTCACTCACAGTTAGTACTCCCTCTTTGTTTTGGGGGTGGGGGTTCCTGGGGATCGAACTCGGGTCCTGGGGCTTGCAAGGCAGGTGGTAGAACCACTGAGCTAAATCCCCTGCCCCAGTACTCCCTCTTTAGAGCAGAGGTCCTCAACACGAGGAAATTCACTATAGTGCCACTGGTATCTAGCAGGTAGGGCCCTGAGATGCTACATCCTGTGATGCGTTAAGACTGCTGCCCACAATGAGAAATTATCAGGCTCAAAACATCTATAGTTCCAAGGCTGAAAACCCTGTGTTAAGAGTATGAAGCCCTTCACAGTAGAGCTGAGTGTGATTTGGCTGTTTCCTCAGTAGCCTTCTGCACTAGGATACAATAGATATTTTAAAAATGCATGTTGAGGGCCAGGGATTTAGCTCAGTGTCACCGTGCCTGCATCGCAAGTGCAAGGTCCTGAGTTCAATCCCAGGTACCAAAAATACGCAAGTTGAAAAACCAATGAGGGGTTGAAGGGAGGGCAGGGGAAAGAGGAAAAAATAAGAACCAAGATAGATTATGTAAAGGTACAAATTTCCAGTGATGAATGCCATTATACTGTATACCTACAATGCACCAATAAACAATGAAAAAAAACCTATTAAAGTCATCACTTGGTCAAAAATCCTAAACCTGGATGGAACCTATCCTCATCCCCAAGCTGCTGGGTCTCGGAAGAATTCTTCCAAGACCCATTTGCCCCTACCCTTTTTTCTCTCCTTGTACCCTCCCACACGTGTCCATACCAAGGGGCCTAAGGAGATCCGGAGAATGGAATCAATATGCAACTACAGCACTTACCAGGATCCTCTGACTCCTCTTTCTGGGATTTGTGCAGTCAGTGCTGTTGTACAAAGTGAAGCGCAGGTTGCCTGGATTCTGCAGTTTCCCATTGGAGAACTGGACTGTTAGAGAGCAGGACAAGAATTAGATGACAGGAGAAGGACGCACTGGGTAGAGTGGGGAGGAAATGGAGTGTTACCAGGAAAGACGTGGAAGCTCAAGGCGGGGCTGAAGGACGTTCTGGTCCAGTTTGGAAGACAAGGGTGGTGGAAACAAAGGGGTCCCAGCCCAGGAAGGCAGGGGACCTGACGCGGGCGGAAGGACTGCAGAGGTACCCAGACGGAGGGGGAGAGGATTACGGGAAACTCGGCTCCAGCGCCTCAGTCTTTACCCAGTACAGCTCTCTGGCTCTCGTCCGGCTCCCCACAGTACTGCCACCTCGCACTGGGTAACACCTCTGCCGCCATCTAGAACGCCTAGGTCAAGCCCAGGAGGTAAGAGCACAACCGCCTCTCCCTTTCTTAACACTCGGGTTCCCAGCAACTACTGCAGACCGGAAGAGGTGTGGCCTCACTGGGTCCCGCCGAGAGCACGAGTGGCGCGGTCCCGCCCCCTACACCCACTCTCCATCCTATCCCCTCCAGGCGGAGAGTCGTGGTCTCCGCCCACACGGCTCAGCCTATCCTCCTGACCCGCGTCTGCTGGGCGTAGCTCCTGATTGGCCTAGAGCCTTTGCCTTTACAGGCTTAGGGAAAATAAGAGACCACAGCAACAAAAGGTCCTGCGTCTTCATCCCCAGTAGCCTGAGGAGCTTTCTTTTCTCTAGGGCATCGTCTTTCTGACAAGAATGTATCCCAAAGACCTAAATAAAGCCAAGTTGAAATTTAGAATTCTCTGACAGGATCTCCAGGTCAATGTGGCAGCTGGTACAGACAGGGTCTCTCATCCCCACACGTGAGCACTCAACCCTTCAGTCCCGGCTTTGGCCACAGCTCCCCGCCGCGGTCCCTCCTCCAGCTGGGGCGTGCATACACGTGTGAAACTGGGAGAGGGCGGACCAGGCGTAGAGGCTCAGCATTTCAAAGCATCGAGGCCGTGGAGGCCGGAGAAGGGGCGGTTAGAAGAGCGAGACCTAGCTGAGGAAGATGTCCTTCTGAAATGGAAAAAACAAGACAAAGCAGAGACTGACAGTCTCGAGGCTGACAGTCTAAGGCTTGTCCCTCCCGCTAAACCCACGAAGGTCACTGTGCCTGGAAGATGAACTGCTGGAACACAGCTGCCTACCTCCCTGTGTCTTAAACTGTAGAAACAACATTTACCTCCACCTCCCTATCCTTTGCTAAGTTCTGCTTCTGTAAAATTCTGCTTGCTCCCCCGCCCTGGCTAAAGAACAGATAGATACAGAACAAACCGAGAAATGGGACTCAGACTCTGGAGGCTACTTCCTCTGGGTCCGCTAGCGAATAAGAGCCTGTCTTTCCCTTCAATTCTCTGAGTGCCCCTCTCTTCCTTGGTCTGCTTGCCCTCTGAGTGCCATTTCACTTCTTTGTCTCTAAGGATTCAAGAGCCATTTTTCCTCTCGGGGACTCATCAGAGTGGGAAGGGCAAAAGCATGACTTCTGTTTGTTTTGTTCCGGTTTTTTGTTTGTTTGTTTTTGTTTTGTATGTTTGTTTGTTTTGAGACAAGGTCTCTATGTGACCCCAGGCTGGCCTCAAATTCACAATCCTGCCTCAACCTCCTGAGTGCTGGTATTATGGGAAAGTGGTTGGACAAAATCAGAATCTTTAAGCATGGATCCAGGCCTAAGACCCCCTTGCCCAAAGGCTGTACTGCTCAAAGTTGATTCATCTTTGTTCTCCAAATTGCTGCCTTTTACTAAATATCCAGGATCTTCCTATAACCCTAACATCTTTTGCCCTGTTGCCTAGCACTTGTCACACCTTTCTAATTACCCACTGTCAGACTTACAGAACTATTGCAAGTACAGTGCAAAGAACTGTTTGTCCTGAGCCATTTAAATTGTCAACCTAGCCGGGGATTTAGCTCAGTGGTTCGGTGGCCTGCCTTGCAAGCGCAAGGACCCAAGTTCAATGCCCGGTACCAAAACATAAATAAATAAATAAATAAAATAAATTGTCAACCTGATTCCCTATTTACCCCATGAGACTATAGTGTTTTCTATGGACAAGGAGTGCTGCCCTTTGGATCTTTGTGTACTGCAAGCATTAAAGGCTTGTTCCTCAAGCTGTTGAGAAGTGGTAGAAACCTTAAGAGGAAGAGCCCAGTAGAGATTTTTAGGTCACTGAGTGACAGGCCCTCCCTCTTTTTCTCTTTCAGTTCCTGGCTTTGCTCAGGCACATGCTCCCACCTTGCTGTGCTACCTCTCCACAGGCCCAGACTAGTGAGGTGAATTGGTCATGTACTGAAACCTCCAAAACTATGAACCCAAATACACCTTTCTTCTTTATAATTAATTATCTTGGACATTTTGATACAGTAATAGAAAGTTGACTTACACAGACTTTCTCTAAATAATAATACAGCTGTCACAACCAGGGAATTAACATTGATATTACTACCAATCCTCACACCCCATTCAAGTTCAGCAACTGCAGCATGAGTTTTATTGCAGAAGGTATCTGTCAAGAATCATGTGCTACAAGGCTCATGGCATACACCTGTAGTCCCATTTACTCAGGAGGCTGAGGCAAGAGGATCACAAGTTTGACGCCAGCTTGGGCAATCTAGAAAGGCTCTGTTTCAGAATACATGAACTTCCCCTTAGTTCAAATTCCAGTACTACAAAAAAAAAAATTCATGTTGTATTTAGCTGTCATGGTTTTCTTTTTCTTTTTTTTTTTTATTTTTTGAGACAGGGTCTCACTATGTAGTTCAGACTGACCTGGAACTCACTATGTAGCCCAGGCTGGTCTCTAACTCACAGTGATCCTCCTGCCTTAGCCTTCCGAGTGCTGAGATTACAGGTGTGAGCCACCACTCCCGGCTTGTCATAGTTCTTTCTCTGGGTAAATTGCATGACCCCACCTAAGAGCTTTTGAATGGAATTCTTCAGGAAAGGAAAAAGAAGAAAAGGAGTCTAATTGTCTATTTGTCTGTGTCCCTCTAAACTTATTTGTATTTATCTATAAACAGCATAGAGTTAAACAATAAACAGAGTTTTTTTTTTCTTCACTGTTGTACTTCCAACTCCTGGAACAGTGGCTGCACAGAGTACACTCTCAGTATAGGTGGAATGAATGGATTAAAATCATCAGTAATTCCAGGAGCCTAGCACAGGGACTAGAACTCAAAAATACTAAGTAATGTTGGTTGAAATCAACTAGTATAGGGTTTATATATAATAGGTACATATGCATTGGTTGAGTGGAAATGAGCAGATAAGTCAGTTTTGGGTTTTTTTTTGTTTGTTTTTTTGTTTTTTTTGTTTTTTTTTTTTTTTTTTTTTTTTTTTTTTTTTTTGAGATAGGGTCTCCCTATGTAGTTGAGACTGACCTGGAACTCACTATGTAGTCCAGGCTGGTCTCAAACTCACAGCGATCCTCCTGCCTCAGCCTCCCGAGTGCTAGGATTACAGGCGTGCGCCAACACACCTGGCTAGATGAGTCAAATTTAAGAGGTGACAAAGAAAACTACAGTGGCTATAAGTAATCCAATGTAGTTCTTGAGATAAGTGTCTTAGCCCTTGATGACATAGGGATATATGGTGTGGCCTTGCTACTCAAAGTGTAGTCATGGAAATGGCAATGTTTACATTGCCCAGGAATTTGTTGGACATGTAGTATCCCCAGCCCTATCAAACCTTCTGAATCAGAATCAGTAGGCGATTCCAAGTAGACTTGAAGTTTGGCAAGCTCTGTTGTACCAGATTTATTCCTCCTTAAGGCTAATTTTTGCAGTCATACAGATTCTGTGAACGTTCTCAGGTTGGGCTGCTTCATAGCTAGGGAAAATAGTGAAGATCAGTGTATACCTGTTAAGGGTGAACACTTCCAGAATCACCACAGGCAAGAATTCAAAGTGATAAGAGAATCTACCTGGGAAAGGAAGCATTACCCTTCTCCATTGTTGGTGGGAGTGCAGACTGGTGCAACCACTATGGAAATCAATATGGAGATACCTCAAAGAGCTGGGACTAGAGGTTCCATTTGACCCAGCCATAGCTCTGCTGGGTGTCTTTCCAAAAGAATTAAAAGAATCATATCACAGTGATATATGCACACCCATGTTTATAGCGGCACAGTTTGTAATAGCTAAAACTTGGAAACAGCTCATCTGTCCATCAGTTGGAAACTGGATAAAGATGTGGTTTTTCTATAAAATGGAATACTACTCAGCCATAAAGAATGAGAAAGTAGCCTCATTCATAAGTAAATGGGTACATTTTGAGGATATCTTCCTAAGTGAAATAAATAAGTCACACATATGCAAATACCAAATAGCTTCTCTGGTATGAAAAACTAAAATAGTACTCAAGATCCTAATGGGACAATTAACAATGTGAAATAGGAAGAAAAGGACCAAAGATGTAGGGACAGTGAGAAAGACAGGGAAAGGGGAATAAGGGAAAAGGAAAAAAATATGAGAAAATGTAAAAATGGAATTAAAGTGTTTGTAAATAGGGAAGGGAGGAGGGGATGAAGGGAGGGTGGGGACAAGGGGAAAAATGAGAACTAAGACCTGGCATGTAAAGGTACAAGATCCCAGTCATGAATGTAACTGTACTGTCTACCTAGAATGTACCAATAAATTCAATTTAAATTAAAAAAAAAAAAAGAAAGGAAGTATTAATGGTGGAGAGGCTGGAAAGCCGATTGTAATGTACTCTTTTGTTGTTTAATTATTTAAAAGTAATTCAACACACACACAATTTATGTGTACATGTACAGAGATGTATAAATATCTGAGATGAAACAGGATGGAAGGAGTCTTACTAAGGCAGTGACTAATTGGCAAAAATCTAATATGGCCCCTTCTAGAGTCATGGATGGTCACAAGAAGAATTTTCCATAAAAATGTTTATTTGTCAATTTAGTCTGGAAATTCAGAGACACATGGAGTTTTCTCTAAGTATTGTTTTTCATAGAACGAAAAAGATTTTGGGGGTATGGAGAGAAGCAGTCCTTTCCTGGGGTAATATCTCCATCTGCTGGTACTTCAGGATATTGCAGGCAAGTCATCCTATTTGTCGCGACTCAGCCTGAAAACGGCTTCTTCTGTCTTGCCTCCTCTTTGCTTTTTTTTTTTTTTTTTTTTTTTTTTTTTTTTTTTTTGCCTCTGTCTCTCCTTTTTCTTCCTATGTTTCTGAGTTTTCTCTTTCTCCTTCACCATCTTCTTTATCATTCCCTTTCTCTTCATTCGTATCACCGTTGCAGATTGCACATGCATGCCTGTAGACCTGAGCAACTACCTATTTGTAAGGCAGACTTCACCTGGAACAGGATTTTTCCCTCTCCTTACATGGAGCTGAATCTGCCTTTTGCTGCCTGTACAGATGTAGCTCCTCCCTATATTTCTAGTTCTGCTTTCCAGGGCCATGTAGGACAAAACCAATGCCTCTGC